TGAAGAAGATAAGCGAATATATTTGAAAGAGATTGTAAACTGTTGAAAGCAAATTCGAGTTCACTTCAATTTTAGCGCACTTTATTCATAAGTTGAATAAAGATGGCAGCACTAGATATTCTGATTATATATATTTTTCTTGACTTTATGTTCTGAATCATTTAGGGTGTGTTTTAATTAATATTAGATTAGTTTTTATGCATTGCATAATTAGTTCACATAACACTCAATATATAGCTAAATATGCTTTAGGAATTTTATGTAGTCCTGTATTTTCAAATAAATTCTTTGAACTATTACTATGAATTTTATATGATTTCATGTTTAGCGGTACATTTATATCGCTAAATATACTTTAATGAATTTAATATTATCTCTTATTCTCAAACGGTCGATGTTTTTTTAGTGCTAACCCACTGAAAAAGTATTTCAGAAATTGATAGTACAACAATGAAAACATAGTGATAATGAACATTGTTTATTTTGAAAATTTATATATTATAAAGTAATAACAATTTCATATACAATATAATTTTGTTATTATTTATCTCGAAGAATAGGTTTACTCGTAATTTTTTTTGTTTTCGTACCACATTATGCTTCTTTGTTGGTATTTAAGCATAGAGCTATACAATGAATATATGCGCTGTGCGCCCCTTGGGTATCAAACCCAGATTTCTAGCATTATAAGCCCTCAAGCCTACCGCTGAGCCACCGGGGCCCGTCTTATGCTAAACAAAATATAGAAAAATTTCAGTACTTACACGAAATGCCCCCCAGTGGCACAGCGGTATGTCTGCGGAGTTACAACGCTAGAATCCGGGTTTCGATACCCGTGGTGGGCAGAGCACAGATAGCCCATTGTGTAGCTTTGTGCTTAATTTCAAACAAACAAACAAAATACACGAAACGTAAGATACAGAATTGTGACGCAACTTACTGATTTATAATGTTAAATATTTCAAATCAGTTTAATATACTTAATTGTTGTCATTAATGCATATTAGAATATTCAAATTTTGATCTATATAGTTAGCTCCGTTTTGATGAGAAGTTCTTAATAATCAACAAAACAAAGTATTTTATAGAACAAAATAATATTTTACTTAATCGCCATGTTGGAAGATAGTGTATCTTTTCAAGACGATTATCCAAATATAACCATTCGTTAACCTCGAACTAAAAAACAAGTAATTGTTTATTTTTTAGTCATCGACATAGTAATTTTAAAAAAAAACTACATTTTAGTAATGAGATCTCTAGCATTTTTAAAGTCATCGATTTGTTGATAAGCCTGCCGTTGTAGTTCAATATTTTGAGTAGCATTAAAAGTATGAAATATAAATATATTAACTGTATAATTATGTAGTAAATATCTCACCATATTTGGCCCGGCATGGCCAGGTGATTAGGGCGCTCGACTCGCAATCTGAGGGTCGCGGGTTCGAATCTCCGTCTTACCAAACATGCTC